TCTCCTCTCCTCGAGTCTCCTCTCCTCGAGTCTCCTCTCCTCTCCTCGAGTCTCCTCTCCTCTCCTCGAGTCTCCTCTCCTCTCTCCATCTCCATCTCCATCTCCATCTCCATCTCCATCTCCATCTCCATCTCCATCTCCAGTATTGGTTTGTGAAGTGCACAAGACACAGCCACAGCACACTCCAGGTGGAAAACCACTCTGCTGAGCCCCCCTTGCCTGCTTTGGGTCATGTCCTCCAGCCCCATAGAGCAGTGGGGGCTCTGCCAAGCCCCAGGGTGTTACAGGGCTTTGTGGAGAGAAGTTAGTCATCCCATGGATCCTGGAAAGCCCCATCACCACCAGGGAGGATCTGTCTCCAGGAAGAGGTACAGGAGAAGTCTGGATAACACAGGTTCCACAGGTAAAGAGGAGTCACCCACAGCTACATGGGGACAGTGACAAGGGACAGACAGACACAGCATCTCAGGGAGGATGTGAGCCTGTGCTATGCCCACAGTGTTTTACCGGTCATTCGGAAAAGAGGTCAAATTCTCCTTTTGGCAAAGTCACCTCTGCAGTGAGGCAGAAAGAAGGGCAAGGGAGAGAGGTTCCCCTCTCTCCTGCTCAAACAGCTGCTGGGTGCCAAGGTGGCAAGGGAAGTCCCCCTACCACCTCCTGGTGCACTGACACAGCCACTGAGATACAGAAAAAGGCCAGAGAAAAGCTGCTGCCCTTAAAAAGCTCATTACTACTGACAGTCACAGTGGTGCCTGCCTCCATGTCTGCAAAAAACAGAGGGCAGCATGCAGCTTTGTGTGTTTGTCACATATGGATCGTGTTTGATTAAGGCAAATTACATTTATTTGGCAAATACATTTATTTGTATATCTTTTACCTATTTTTGAATAGAATCCTTTGTCACATTTCAAGTTGATTGCCAGTTTTTCCCTAATGTTTCTGCTGAGCACACAAGCATTTTCTAAGAACACTCCTCACAACCATATTTTAAATGTTCTTGTAAGTAGTTTCTAGTTTCCCTGAACATAGGCAGTTTGCTAACAGTAAAAGGAAGCTGAGATTCCTTCCTACAAATAGAGCTTGGGGAAATTCTTTCATCAATCACTCTTCAAATAGAAACTGAACAGACTTGCTTGAAAACCCATTATCCAATATTTCACCCATTGTAGCATTAAGAAAATATGCATTTTCTTCTCGCTCATTTCTTTCTTACCTAAGAAACACAGAGTTGACAAGTTTTGACCTTCCTTGCTTTTTCCAGAGGATGTCCTGGTGCATTAAATGGCTCTCATCCAACAGGTAATTCCTTTAGTGAAGAAAACCTATCTTCAGCAGGTACCTCAAGCATCCGAGCTATTTTGCCTAAAACCACCAAGACTTCTGATCTGATTTCTTCCTCTTGGGATTCTGCTCTCACATGGCACCACAGAATCTAATTATCTATGTGGAAAGACAAGTGGGATCTTTTAGGAGGTCTTTACATAAAGTAGATAAAATAGTCACGAGCTCAGCTCAACCAGCCTTAGGTTTATGAGGCTCAGTGCATTTCTCTCTGCACTGGTATAAATCTGGGTGGTATCTCCACACTGTTATGTTGCTTTACAGACTGAATTGTCCTTATCTATAAAACACCAAAATAAACAAGCCTAAGGGTTTTGACCTTTGAATTAAAATATGCCTGGGACATCCCAAAAATCTTACTGAAAGCATCTGGTGCTTTAAAGGATCTAATTAAATTTGTCAGCAGATACAGGATCAGCATTTTCACAGTTTAAAGGGTCAGAGAAGAAAGTACAGTCAGAATCACCAAACAAATGATTAATGAGATTCCAAAAAAATGTCAGGGCTGGCAGAGACAAGTGGGACTGGGAGGTAGCTTGGGACTGCCACAGGATGGGAGCCCAGCCCCACTGAAGCACTGCTGGCATGGGAGTGAGCTGCCTTAGGCACCACTGTTAGACCAGAGCTCCCACATTCAATCTGGAGTGGCAGAGCCAGGGCAGGGTGGCAAATCTATGCTGCCCTAAACGGATGCCTGATCTGCAGCTTGCCAGAGGTGGCTGCCTGCTCCTGGCAGCACCTGCAGGGCTCACCCCTCCAACACCGGCTGTTCCCAGGCTGCCAGCCACAGACCTGGGGAGGCATATGAGTAGGAGGTGGTGGGGCCACCCCAGGTACATGCAGCTCTCAAGATGCTTAGCTCTGGGGACAGGTCACAGGGGAGCCACATGTGTATAAGTGCACGTGTGCTGGTATGTGAGTCTGGGAATGTTTGTGTCCATATTTGTGCACAAATGCACATGTATGTGTGTGCATGCAGCTATGCACGTGTGAGAATGGACAGGGACATGTCTGTGCGTCCATGTGTCTTTGTCAGGAGCAGATTAAAGGGTTAGGTCACATGGCACTTACTGCTGGATGGACCCTACCTGGGATTTGGGTTCTTAGAGTTAATAGGATCACTGGAGCTCAAGACAGTCATCCCATCAAGATAAATGTCTCTAGTGCCCACTTTTAAGCAATCCGAATTCAATTAGGCTAATTGGAAAACAAGTAAAGAAGGATTGCATTAATATAGCCTTATAGCATGAACCTCCCCTCCCTCCCTCTGACCATACCGAGCCAAAATGCCAGCACCCTTGCACCCAGTACATGGGGATCCCACCAGAAAGGGCTGCCTGGCTCTGAGAACCTATTCCATACCCACAGCCCAGACCCACAGTGGGACAGCAAGATCTCTGTGCAATTCCTGAGTGCCAGACCGTACCCTGGGAGGTGGAGAAAACACAGCTGATTCTCCTGGGCAGACCAAATGAAGACTCAGCAGAAAATAAGGAAGGCGTGAGTGATGCAGTGACAGGAGGAGGTAGCAGCTCACTCATACATTATGTTTTCAAGAAGGTTCTGAAACTGCACCCTTAGGAATTTTTGGGGTGGGAGAAAACAAAGCCTTTTTTTGTTGTTTTTAATGATCTGCTGGATGATACAGATAATACAAACTGCAGGAGGGTACAGGTTTCCTCTAGGTGAATATTTCCTCCTTTTCCTTGCCTCCCTCTTGTTGATTTGCAGTCTGACCTTGGAAGCCCCATTTATCTTTCGGGGAGGCCCTCCCTGCTGCACATCTTTGGTCCGGAGAGTGATGTCTCTCCTGCAGCATGACTTCAGCTTCAAATCTCTGCTCTGCAAGGCAGTAATTATTTCACCTGGACATAAAGAAAAGGCAGGAGAAAAGGAAGGAGGAATCTGTGGCATTTTATGGTGCTGATTTCATTGTGTGAAACCACGTCCCATGTGTATGTCTCAACAGTGACTACATTTCCCTTTAGTCTTCACTGTACAAGAAGGAGGTACAGATGGCTGCACGTTACAAATTGTCCATCTTGAGAACTTTTGTTACTTTCCAAGCATAACTTCAGAAGAAATTTTAATAATGCATTGCAAAAAAATAAAAAAGGTGATGGAATGTGAAAAGGAAGTTTGTTACTTCCTTGGAAAGGCAAGTAACAAACCCTGCCTATTTCATCCCCTAATGAATACTCTTAAATTTGATTCTGGTTGCCCCCATAAGTTTCCAAAGGTCAATGGTCTTTGCAAAGCTGTGATGTACCAAAGATGAATTTCTGAGGCTTCATACTAATAAGATATGTATCCCAGAGGGCTGCAAGAGATTCAACTGACAGACAGGATATCAGACCCAAAGGAAAATGTTCAGTTACCATTCTTTGCCTATCTAAACCCTCTGTGTAATCAGAAGAACCATTAGACTTCTTCCCTCCCTGGAGCACTGTAACGCCTCATGTGTGTCACACAGTGACACACATGCCTGAAGCATGACAAGAGAGAAAACAGAGATCTAGAGGTGGAAGAGTCAGAGCTCTCTCTCCTCCGCTACAGGGTTATGGGTTTTCTTCAGATATTTTTTCAAACTGGGATCAAGGGAGTGGTTTCCTCTTTCAGCAATTCCACTCGCCTTCAAGAAGGATGCTACAGTGACAAACGTAGCTACATATGGAAAACACAAGCAGAGTATTCTACTGCTGAGGAAAGAGGAGCCTTCTCTGTCAGGAAGGAAGGTCTCTTGTATGGGAGTCAAGCACCCTGCTGCAGAGCTAGAAGGATTTTTGGCTGCCTTCATATTGTGATTAACAGCAAAAAAAAATCGAGTATTTGCCCTATAACTGACAACTTTGACAGGTACCCCAAAAGCAGCATCTGTGCAAGGATCTAATGCCCTTTATGGCATTAACTAAAGGGTTTTTGCTCCTTCATCTCACATTCCTATATTTCTTAGCTACAACAAGTAAAACTGATTCCCATTTTTGCCCAGGACTTATGGAGGGACAGGTGTGTTTTGTGCTGGTTTTGAGTGCTATAAACCCCCAGCTTCAAATTAGAAGAAATTAGGAACATTGCACAGTTCATTCATCTTCACTAATAGAGTTCCTGGGAAACACACATGTAGATTAAAGGAACACAATGGCCCCTGGCTGATTGCTTTGAGTAGCCTCCAGTGTCCCTACAATGGTATTGACTGGCTTTTTATAGTGTCCACAAAAGCTACAGTAACCTTTTCTTGTCTCTTCTGTTGGCCTCTTCCCTCTGTGCAAACGGACATCTGAGTTCTTTTGGCCTCAAACCAACCCCTGCCCCCCGCAGCAGTCAGTGAAGGCAAACCTCACCTGGAGCTAGGAGAAGCCATGCACTCCTAAAAGAAATCAGCTTTGGAACATCAGAACATAAACCTGCAAAAGGTGTGGACACTGGAAGCAAGCACTGCTAATCTTTGAAGTGATTTCTCTGGAAAAATTTACATGATATGGAGCCAGCTGGGGCAGAAGGGGAATTAAAAAACTGCAAATTTATTGAAAGGTCATACTTATTAGACTAGATAATATATCTGGAAGAACGAGCAGCAGCAGTGGTGTTTTTCCTTCACATACACTCTCCTGAGGCTTCAAATAGAAGTACCTTCGTAGCTAAGTGTAGACTGAAAACCACTCTAGATGTTACTGGGTTTGTCATGTAAACAAACTGTGACAAAAGGTAGCTGGTGCCTCAGAGGAACTGGGAAATGCTAGTGTGAAAAGTGATAAAATGACAGAAAGACAAAAGCAGGGAAAAGATCGATGCAGGAGATGTGATGCTGTTACCTGGTCGGTCGGACCACCCCCTATGGTGGGTCCACATCTTCCACCAAGCCAAGTGTAAAGTGATGTGTGGGATTTGGCTCCCCTGCCTCACCTCCAAAAACACTTTGTGCATTCCCCATGAAGCCATGCCCTGCCTGCTACGCTCCAAACCCCACTCGCACCATGGAGTACAGGGTACAGAATCAGCTCTTCTCACAGGCTCTGTCCTACAGCAGCTGGAAAACTTTCTCACAAATACTGCTTAGATTTTCCTCGGGTTTGTGAAGTCTGAAAGACTGAGTCCGCCTCCTGCGTACATCCTGCCCAGAAGCACCTGTTTTGTGAAATGCCTTTGGAGGCAACCGGGCGCTGGGCGAAAGTCCCGCAGAGCACCAGCGCAGCGGCGTTTACCCCAGTGCTCCTGAGTCGGGCCGGGGCCGCAGGAGCTTTCGAGCTGCCGCCGTGAAACGGAAGCACCAACAAACCGTCCGGGAGGAGTCTGGGCTGCAGCCGTCGAGCAAGAGAAACGCGGCGAGGCGCCGAGAGCCACCGAACAGTTCGGGGCAGTGCCGGGGACCCGCTGTCCTCCGGCCCGGCACCCCCGGGCTCCCGCCCCTTTCCGTCCCCTTCGCTGATCTCCCTTTACCGCGCCCCCGGCAGCGGCTCCCGCCGTCCCGGCTCTGTCCCCCCGTGCCCGGCACGTCTCTCGCCGCCCGTCCCACCGCGGTTTCTGACAGTGCTGCCCCTGCCCCGCAGCTCCGACCGCGGCGCTCGGCCCGGGCTAGCTCTCGCCTGCAGCGGGGGCCGCCCCGCCCCGCCTCGGGGGCCCCGGATGGCATCGCCCGGCGCCGTCTGGGGCTGGGGCCGGGGCCGGGGCCGGCGGGGAGGGGCGGGGCGGCCGGCGGGGACCGAGGGATGCCCTGCCTCCCCCTCCGTGCTGAAGAGACGCGGGGGCCTCGCCTTCCCTCTTGCCTACCGCCCCCCGGCACTCCTCCCCCGCCCCAAGGAGGCCAGCACGCCCGGTGACACCGTGCCAGACTTGCCCGCGCTGCCCGGAAGCCGGGTGAGACCGCAGTGCTGCGGCGGAGTATGCACCCGCCCGGCGCCCCGCTCGCTATGGCCGACGGCGCCTTCTCGCTGGCCGCCCCGGCGGCGCGGAGTCCCGGGGGAAACCCCTCGAGGCTGCACAGCATCGAGGCTATCCTGGGGTTCACCAAGGAAGACGGGCTGCTGGGCGCCTTCCCGCCCGACGGCAGCGCCAAGGAGGCGGACCGGCGGGGTCCCCGGAATTGCCTGCCCAAGATGCCCGGAGAGCCGTCGCCAGCCGAACCCCAAGGCCGCGCCGAGCGCTTCCAAGGTGAGCGCTGTGGACGAACGCGGGGTCCCGCGGGGTGGATGGGTGGGCACCACTCCCCCACGCTCTCGGGCAAGCCCTGCGGGGAGATCCCGCCGGTGACCCTCCTGTCTTCCCCTCGCAGAGCCGTACTGTCCCGGCAGCGCCAGCCCCGAACTGCCCGCTGGCAGCAGCGGCGAGAGGAAGCCGTCGGAAGAGGAACAGCCCAAGAAGAAGCACCGGCGAAACCGCACCACCTTCACCACGTACCAGCTTCACGAGTTGGAGCGTGCCTTTGAGAAGTCCCACTACCCTGACGTGTACAGCCGCGAGGAGCTGGCCATGAAGGTCAATCTGCCTGAAGTCCGCGTCCAGGTAACGCCCGATCCGGCCCCCCACGACGGCCCCGACGACCCCCGGCTCCGGGAAGCCACGCACGGCCCAGCCTGATCTCCTTCGGCGCAGCCCCGTGGTGCGGTGGCCGGAGCAACCCCGATGCGGGGCGCTTGCCCGTGACCGCAGCACTTCTCTGGCCACACTCAGGCCTGCGACTCCGGCCACACTCGGGGCTACGGCTCCGGCCACACACGGGGCCCCACTGAAACGCTGGGCACGGCTGCCGCACAGCCGGTGGCCGGCCCGGTCGGCGGGACAGCGCGGGGTTCGGGGCCGACCTGCGTCCAGCACCAGCGTCGTCGGTGCTGCCGCCCTTTGAGTAGTGCGTCCCAGCCCGGGGCGGCTGAACCCGCTGTGTGCCAGGGCAGTGGCGGGTGGATGGGCGGGCCTGCTCCACTGCGGGACTGTTTTTCACCGAGTGCAGGGCTGTGGGTCGTGGAGGAACGCCTGAGCCCCCCAGGTTCCCTTCTGCCCCAGCTTGCAAAGGCGTGTTTCCTTTGCTGTTTTGTGTGCACTGCTGGAGCCAGGGGCGAGCCTCTGTCCACCACCTGGGTCCTGGCTGATACAGTTCTGCTTGCAGGTTTGGTTTCAGAACAGAAGGGCTAAGTGGAGGCGGCAGGAGAAACTAGAGGTGACCTCCATGAAACTGCAGGACTCGCCCATCCTCTCATTCAACCGCTCGCCTCAGGCAACACCCATGGGTCCTCTGAGCAGCAGCCTGCCCCTGGAGACGTGGCTCAGCCCACCGGTGCCCAGCAGCACAGCCCTGCAGACCCTGCCTGGCTTCGTGGCCTCGCCGCAGAGCCTGCCTGGCAGCTACACACCACCACCCTTCCTGAACTCTCCAGCAGTGACCCACGCGCTGCAGCCCCTGGGGGCCATGGGGCCGCCGCCGCCTTATCAGTGTGGGGCCACCTTTGTGGACAAGTTCCCTTTGGATGAGGCAGACCCACGCAACACCAGCATTGCAGCCTTGCGGCTGAAGGCCAAGGAGCACATCCAGTCCATTGGCAAACCCTGGCAGACAATCTGAACTCCTTCTCAGCACCTGGGAGAAAGCCATGGGGAAGGCACATCCCAGAACGCCCGAGGGACACCCTTACCCTGCCTCGGCTGCCGTGGATGGCCAGGCACAGGAAGGCTGTCCCTTGCACCAGCCTTTCCCCTACGCCTTGACTTGCTTTTGTATTTTGTGGTCCTTTTAATTCCCTTTTCCACATCCCCTGAAGAGTTAGGGGCCTGATCATAGCTTAGGAAAAACAATCTCTTTTGCTCTCCTCCCTTGGCTGGATGCTTTAGTTGCAATAAAAGCTACAGTAGGGCAAAGAGCTGTGTAAGGTGGCTGGGAACCCAGGACTACCGTACCTGGGAAGGGGGTTCTGCTTTTGCACCATTAAATGCCACCATCTGCATGGAGGCTGTGCATCATGTTTCTGAACCCAAATGGGCATCTTGGACTGGACCCTGTGCTCTGTGTGATGCACAGAGGGGCGCATCACAGCCCCCTGGCTGTGGGCTCTTCTCTGTCCTCCTCCATCAGCAGAACCCTGCCCAAGCTGGCTATGGCACTGGGGGCTGCAGCCCCATGATGGACAGAGTGCCCAGATGGGAGTGGGCACAGTGGGGCTGGAGCCCTGGCAGTCCTTGGGCCAGGCACACCACTCCCACAACTGCCCTTATGGAGTAGTGCCAGGCTCAGGTGGGCTTTGCAGGCTGGAGTCAGTGACAGTCCTTGCTGCCTCTGCAGAGAGGGGCCTCTGCCTGGCCCCCTACAGCCCAGTTGTCCACAGGGAGGAACAAACGGTCTCTGGCTGAGCACTGACACTCAGCTGGGGCCTGACAGGCTTATCCTGCCCATTCTGGCTGCCCAGCACAGCCCCTGGAGGCTGGCACAGAGCTGGGCCATGCCTGCTCCCCTGCCCACCCAGTGCCCATCGCCAGGCTGCCCAAACTAAAACTGCGGCATCTTTATTTTTCATTATCTCCGTTACTGCCTGTAATGGGGCTGAGAAGCTGTAATGAAACACCCCTTTTCCTCTGCTGGGCATGGGGTGCTCTACACACTTGGGAGGTTGTGGCAATTAACGTTTCTCATTAGGGACGAGAGAAGGATGCACAAGTGCCCTCATTGTGTCCTGGGGATGATTCAATGCAGACTGGGAGACCTCTCCTTTCACCATTTCCCACTCATTGTGGCCAGACAAAGGCTGGCGTCTAATTATATTTTCACAATCTGTGCGTATCTTTTAAGAGTCCTGTCAGAAACAAGTATGTCAGCTTTGTTCAGCTTCACTTCAGAGAGCTTTTTAACCTTAGACAGCAGTTTCCAAACATCCCTTCATACCCTTCTCCACAGCAGCCCCCATCTATTGTATGGAGAGCTTCTTTTGCAGATAATAATAGGAATCCCTCTTGTTTTCAAATGCCTTTTCCTCTGTCCCCAGCCTCCCTGCAGATCCAATCTGCCTCTCTGGACTAGAGCACACACTGTTCAGGACCCCCAGCTTCCCTTCCCTGAGCTGTGCTGGTCCAGGGCATGCAGGGAAGCCAAGTGAGTGGTCTCTCCTGAATTTTGGGTGAATGAAGCCCTGCTGAGGGAGACTCTCTTGCTGGGCTCTGGACTTGACAATTCTATTATGTGTGCATTTGTGGTGGTGGTGCCCTCCCTTCAGAGCACACATCTCTTTGCTTCTTTGACAGAGAGAGGAAGTGCTGCCAGGAGAAGAACTGCCATTGCTGTCAGGACCAGGGAGGTATTTTGCCAACTTCTTGTAAGAAGCCCTGAGTAAATGAGAACAAATCGTATTGCTTCAGTTTTTAGGTCTTAACTCTATTGGTCCTTTCACACATGAGCTTTGCTTGCATCACCAGTGGTGCTGGGGTAGCAAGAAGGCATGGCTTTTCTGGTAGCTGCAAGAGAAGGATTTCTCTTGGTGTGCTTGGGAAGTGCCTGCATTGCCTGGCTTGTGTCAGGAAGAGACACACACTATTGAGTGACTGCACAGGCTCTGCACACTCCTCCTTCTCAGGGTAGGAACAATCTCACTCGTCATTATTTGGCTGCACTCCAGCTGTGGCTCTGAAGCTGAAAACCCTCTTGTAGATGAGGACATTAAATTTCTGCTCTAAAGTTCTCACCTGTGCTTATTGCTCATGGTTAATAAGCAACTCCCCAAAATTTCAATAGTGCTTTCCCACATTTTAGCATTACTACCCTCCCTTTCTCTTACCTACAGTTCTTCTGTATCCTGTAAAGCTGTTGGAAAGAAGCCCTTGACTTCCTGATCAGCTGTCACGAGCTCTGATGCTTGGTTACTTGAGATAGTCAAAGACTGGCAGTAGATAAAACCACAACAACAGGGCAGCAGAAGTAGCAGGTGAAGATATCTGCTCACTTTTAATAAGGTCCTGATCCAGCACCTGCTAACAAATAAAGATTATGGCAAGCTATGGTGGTTGTTCTTTTATTGGCATATTAAACAGGTCTTTCTTATACCTTGTACATGTGAACCCTGTAAGTGGATCAACTGTGTGCTGTCGTCCTTCAAGGAAAGCTGAGTTTTTTACTAAAAATTAATATTTTACCAGCTACATATAAGTAGGCAAATAAAGAGACAGAGGCATATGCAAACATATCTTTCTTCTAGCCTGTCTAGTTTTCCATGTTCCTACACTTTCTTTCAAATTGTCCCATTCCATTTTAAAAGCCCATTTGTTCATTTTGTTGTAAATATCTTCTCCTCCTTAATTGGGTGCTGAGTCTAATAATCCTGCCTCAGCTTGTTAACTGTACAATACCAGTCAGAGTTAATGACCCATTAGCGATTAATTCCTTAAACAGCATCTAATTGCTCACTGTAAAACCTTTTCTTAAAACTGGATTAAATCATCTAGATCCTTAACCACTTCTTTACTCTAACTTTGTTAAGGCTATTAGCATAGCCTTCTGAGTGGTCTGTTTCTTCTTTTGCTTAAACTGTATTAGCAAGATAGTATTTTTAGTGTCTATACTTGACTTCTTTGCAACACCTGAAGTTCTAAGGAAGAATAATACAGATAAAAGACTGCCAGGGAATGAATGATTATGAGGAAAGTGCCATGATGGAATTTGTTCTCAGGAATGTATTCTAGTCTCTCTTCCTTCTCCCTATCCCTGCTCAAAATCCTGTCAGTATTCAAGAAGACTAGCAGATACCTGAGCTCTTTAATTTTGACTTGAGGTTCAGCTCATCGTCTTCCCAGTAGCAGGACTGTCTCTGCATGCAGGAGTAACCCTCAGTCCCTGTTGGATGGCTCGGAAGCTGTCATTCCCTCTGGAGCAGCAGGCTGGCTGTTGTGTGTGCTGCTGTCATGGTAGCTCACAGCCCCTGTGACATCAAAACACTCATTGCTCAGCCATAGTTTGAATTTCTGTTACTAGATTCTGGGGTTGAGGGCAATACTGTTTCCTTCCTCTTTGCAGAAAGTTGAACTATCTTGTTTCTTCTCCCCGGCTACATCTGACAGGCATTTAAATTATGGACATTTATATATATGTATATATATATAGCATAGGAGTAGATAGTGGAATAAAACAAAAAACAAACAAACAAAGAAACAAAACAAAACCCAACCCAAACCAAAACAAAACCCAACCCAAACCAACCAAACAAACAACAACAAAAGAGTGAAACAAAAAGCTCCTTAGACCAGGATGCTGACATTACCAGTTTCTCTGGTAGAATTAATACTGTGTCTCCTCTTGAGCATCTCTGTCTTCTGCCAAGGCATTATGTCAAAACTGGATGACATTTGGCAGTCATCCCTGTGTCATATGATACTTCTGCCCCACTAAGATTGGGTTTGAAGAGCCGGGCAGAGTGCTGTGACAGAGATACGGCAAACAGCCGCAGCCACGGGGTTCAGCTGGCAGCAGAGCGCACCGGAGCGCTCCCCTCACGGCCGGGGCTCAGCCGGTGCCGGGCTCACCGGAGCGCTCCCCTCACGGCCGGGGCTCAGCCGGTGCCGGGCTCACAGGGGCGCTCCCCTCACGGCCGGGGCTCAGCCGGTGCCGGGCTCACAGGGGCGCTCCCCTCACGGCCGGTGCCGGGTTCACAGGGGCGCTTCCCTCACGGCCGGGGCTCAGCCGGTGCCGCGCTCACAGGGGCGCTCCCCTCACGGCCGGGGCTCAGCCGGTGCCGGGCTCACCGGAGCGCTCCCCTCACGGCCGGCGCCGGGTTCACCGGAGCGCTCCCCTCACGGCCGGGGCTCAGCCGGTGCCGGGCTCACCGGAGCGCTCCCCTCACGGCCGGGGCTCAGCCGGTGCCGCGCTCACAGGGGCGCTCCCCTCACGGCCGGGGCTCAGCCGGTGCCGGGCTCACAGGGGAGCTCCCCTCACGGCCGGGGCTCAGCCGGTGCCGCGCTCACCGGAGCGCTCCCCTCACGGCCGGGGCTCAGCCGGTGCCGGGCTCACAGGGGCGCTCCCCTCACGGCCGGGGCCGGGCTCACAGGGGCGCTCCCCTCACGGCCGGGGCTCAGCCGGTGCCGGGCTCACCGGAGCGCTCCCCTCACGGCCGGGGCTCAGCCGGTGCCGGGCTCACAGGGGCGCTCCCCTCACGGCCTGGGCGAGGGCGCCGCCTGCCGGAGGCGGTGGGAGAGTGCGGTCGGGGCTCGAGTTCCTCCTCTGAGCACGGCGGAGCTGCCGCCAGCGGGCCGGGCGCTGCGGGGACAGCGCTGAGCGGCAGCGTCACCTCCCGGGCACACACGGGACACGGAGGCTCCCAACAGAGCGGCTGAAAGTGCAACACACGCCCTGTCCTGGGGAAGGCAGCCGCCCTTGCTACTGGCTTTCACACAGCGAATTTCACTGCTTAACTGAAATAAAAGCATACACTCCGCCTTTTTCTTGGTACTATTTATTGCGAATGTTGCAATGTCATGTAGTTTCGAACGAAGAAATGAAATGATTTGATAGGTACATCATATAATTAATTGGAAGACCCTTCCATGACAATTCTAGATATATCTATATATATATAGATACATATAGATATATAGATATATATCAAAGCCATTCAAATGAGAAAATGCAACCTTGAAAATGAAGTAGAGGATTTAGTCCTTGCTGAACCATACAAGAGTATGTGTATTTAAGTACTTTACACAAAGGAATTCTTGTGTACAGAAAAGTGACCTTGTTGATTATCTGATACAATCAAGTGTGTGAAATATAGTCTCTTACAGAAAGTATTCAATTTCTTCATGATTTAGTGATCTTCTTTCAGCTTGGAGTGCTCTCTTTCATAGTCACAACTTGAAGCAGATAGTCCATCATCTAATAAAAGGAGAAATATATTATTTATAGATCAGTCCTGAAAAAAGTAATTCACTAAGTTAATAAACCTACTGTAAGTTAATAAGCCTAATAGATAACTGCTCTTTGCATTCACACAACAAATGTATTCCTAATAATCTTTCCCAAACAGACTCCATTTGTCTTGGTTAGTGTAATAACCAACTGCCAAAGTAGGAGGAAAGTCATTCTCCCAAATAATTCTGTGTGCCACCTCATTTATATCCTGTCTCATTAGCGTGAAAAAGCCAAGTAATAGAAACAATTTAAAGTTTATTTTCCAACTTACTTTTGTACTTAGTCCAACTTGCAGGAGGGATTTCCATCCCCTTTAACTACATGAACTGTAATTTATTCACAGAATAAAGATCAGGCAAGGTATTAACTGAAAACAAAAAAAACACAGATGCACTATCCTAAGCCAAACTCCATGAAGTATTGGGCTCACCTCTTCCATTTTGTGACTATTTGTGTGTTACAGCCATTTCCCTCCTCTAGGTGAGTCCTTTAGAAAGAATCATTTTCTTCTTAAAAAATGTACAGCACAGTGTGAGCATCAGTAGTGATACACTGAATGATTTGGGCTAGTAAGACCCTGAATCGAGCTACCTGAGGTACTTATCTGTATTTATTTCTAGCTTTGGGGCTTTGTAATCTTAAATTTAAAATTCAGGCTTTAAATTAAATCAGCTACATTTGAAAGCATCCATGAAACAAAGTTCTTGGAGTCTGCTTGTTCCCAACACAGCTAGTCTTTGCTGCATGCAGCAGGTGGAGCACAGGGCTGCAGACACAAAACTCCTCGTGGTTGGCATCTCTGTCAGAGAGGGAATTGCAGCCCTCAGTGGGCATGTGTCAGCCATTCCACAAGCTGGCAGCAAGGTTCATTATTTATCTTCTTTTGGTCACATTTAGTATCTCAGTCCAACAGGTCACTGCACAGAGAACAGTAACCTGCTGCAAATCTGGTGTCCTCTGGTGGCTCCTTCTAGAACAAGTTTCTGTTCCAAACTCACACAAAATATGCCTGGGAAAGTATTTCATGCCAAGGACAAATTTTCTGGATGCTCTGTGCCATCATCCTCAGCTTCCTGTACCTGATAATCCTCTCCTGTGCACGGACACTTTCCACAGCTGTGGTACAGCAGTATCTTACCCCAAGGTGTTGTCTAACCAAAGTCTGTGCACCTGAAACCCTTCACATCCTGACAAATCTACACAATCAACCCCCAAAGGCCAGTTATGCATTTGTACCACTATGCACATGAATGTCAGATGCCGTATATCAGAGCTCTACCTTTATAAATAAAGCCTCTTTTATTCAAAATAACTTTTAAATGAAAAATAATTATCATTATTTAAATGTTTAGGAAATTATCAGCCCTCAAAAGCACGTTCCTTTTGATCTTCATGTTTTCTTCACCTAGAAGGAAGACCTCAGAAATACCTTAAATTTCAGGTGCTTTCTTGAAGCCAAGGGGAAAAGAGGACATCATATCCTATCTAGGCTGTGTATCATCAGGTATTTGCATCCAACAGCATGAAAGTATAGCTACAGTGACTTTCATTAGATTTTACTTCAGGGTGGAGACAAAGAAACGGTTGATGATGGAAATCAAAGGTTCTACGGCCAAATGAGGTTCTGTAAGTTGTCCTCTATCTTAGTCACAGGTAAAGCATGAGCTTTTTTACTAATCCTTGCAGAAATCTGGATGCTTAAGGCAATAACCTCATTATTCCATAAGGATATTTGATGCCTGACCATAGAAACATTAACAGGATGTTAATTTACGGTGAAAGTATACACATACGGATATGATTCAACTTACCAGAGGCAACTTGCAGCCTTCCTAAGTAGTATTTATTGACAGATACTTTTAGAAGTCAGAACATTTCCCTCTTTACATTAAATAAAGGAATTTGTTCATTTCATTTTATTACAAAGCTGAATACTGCAGAATTGAAGATGGTCCAAACAGTTTCTTTTTTAGATAGTATTAATAATGAGTTACTATGATGCATCACTATCATAAAGCCACAGCCACAAAGAAACCTGTGGGCAGCATTTGTATCACTGGTGTGAGAGACTTAAATTACAGCTTAATTTAAAGGGTGAATTTTTACCCACATTCAAATAAAAGCCTAAGTATTCACTGATTTGATTGAACCAGGATTTCAATAGGGAAACCAGGCTGAAGTTGGCCCAGGAATATTAATGGCATCATATTGCAGAAGAATACGGGAAGGAAAAAATCTTCCCATTGAGGTCTTAAAGAGGGCATACTAATCTTTTTATTCTATTTCACTGTTAACCAAAAGAATTCTGCAGCTTTATCACCACGATTGTACCTGAGGCATTATAAGGAAAGGAGTTTTCTTGTGGGTCCTATGATTTACATTAGACCCCAATTACTTTCTGTAAAACCTCACTGTTATCCTTCCCAGTGTATTTTATAGGATTTCCAAAAAGACTAGGAATTAATCTGTTCCAAAACCTTGTTATCTCGTGCAACAGCACTAGGAAGAACATTAATTTGAGGGATGAGGAGGGGCAGCTCATCAGTAGCCCCAGACTTTTAGCAAACCCAGGAATTACCACAGCAGTAGCCAGCACCATGGGCTGGAGAAAAGGCAAAGGAGACAGGGACAAAGCTGTGACCAGAGAAAATTCTGCAGCCCTGGGGCTTTACTCAGCCCAAGGCAGAACATCCTGAATGCTGATGGAAGGGGACAGTCAGTGTGATGTGGTTCCTCCCGCCTTCACACTCGTTTTTCACACTAGCTTGGCTTTGCTGGGCAATATGTGCTGCTGATGTGATCACCTAAGCATGAGGGAAACAAAAGAATGGCCCAACCAACCAGTTTGAAGGGACTAAAGATCTAAGATCCAGGCACTAAAATCTGCTGAAGGCATGCCATTTTTATGCCTAGTAGCAAATGAAGTCATCACAAATACAACCGGTGAGTGACAATCTGCAATCAAGAGCAGAATCTTACTGTACCAAATGTCTAATACATGAGATGTGTTTCTGCTGCTTTTCTGGACAACCCACCAGTTAGGGGAAGCTGATATGTTACTGTAAACCAAAAATTGAACACATGGAGTATCTTTACAGGTTTTTATCTTACTTACATGTTTCCAACTGCTATTGTCATCTGTCTCCCAGGTGTTCCTGGTGTACCAGGGAAGACCTCCTTTTAAAAAATGACCACTTTTATTTTCATTCCTTTCCAGCAGCCTTAACAAATATTTTGAGATTTCTTCCCACTGCAGATACTCTTCCAGCTGCTTGATATTATTAGGTAATGCTGAAAATGGTGTCTTGTTTTCTTCTTCAAAGCCATAAGGAAAATCCCCAGTGCTTTTTTTCCCCATTAAATGTCCTGCAACAATTAAAGTAGCACAAAATTAACCAAAACCGGCAAAGACTTGCTTGTTCAAACTTCAGGGGGACTTTGCGGGAAGGTGCGGGAAGGGAAGGTGCGGGAAGGTGCGGGAAGGTGCGGGAAGGGAAGGGCTAGATAACGTTGAATTGTAGCACTGCTGGGACAGAAGATTTTGTCAGTGTCACACACAATTAATTTCTTCTGTCTCTTGTGTTACATTGTCAGAGAAAACGTGGCTGAGAAAGGGGCAGTGATAACCAAGCACTTTGCCTGGAGATAGAGAGAGGCACCTGCTAAGATTTACTGGACTAAAAGTGGATGGAGAAGCTGTAGGTTTTAGACTTACCCTGTCTCGACACAGGACGCAGGAACCGCGTGTTCCAGTGCCTTTGTAGGAGTTAAACTACACTTACCCACTGCCCAGTGGCTGCCGCGGGGGTAGATCTTGGTGAGCGCGGGGGTCCCGCCTGGCTGCAGGGGCGCCGCTCCGCCCTGAGCCGCCAGCAGCGCCAGCGCCAGCAGCGCCAGCGCCGCGGGCCGCCCGCCCCGCATCCTGCCCTGCTGCGGGTGCTGCCGGTGCTGCCCCGAGCCGCGCTGCGCTCCGACTCCGTCAAGGCTCCGAAGCCGCCGCCGCCGCCGCCGCCCATTTATCCGGAGCCGGGCCCGGCGCGAGCGGAGCCCCCGCGCCTGCCGCCTCCTCACGGGCCCGCGCCCCGCCCGCGCCCGCGGGGGGAGCTGAGGCGGTGCCGCCCCGGCGCTGCCCTGGGCGGGGGGGGCGTTCTCTCTCTCGGTTACCTTCGCAACACGGGCGCGTCCCACAAGTTCGCGTTCCCCCGCTCCGTTCGCCGGGGGTCGGTGCTGAGGCCGGCCCGGGGCACCTCGGGGCGGTGCTGCCGGCAGCGCCCGGGCACCGGGAGCTCCTCAGGGCGGCAACAGCCGCCGAGGGGACCCGGCAGCTGCAGGGGGCGAGGTCACCCCGCCCTGCGGGACCGCACCGTGCGGGCTTCGGTTCGGCTGCACTCGGGGCAGAGGGTCTCGTTGTCCCTCACTGGAACAGAAAATCTCGTGTAAAGAGCTTATTTTAATTTCCAGTATCGTCTGAATTTCCCGTCACAAGTGACAGTGACGGGGATTTTCTGCTTTCCTTGCACAGGAACCCTGTAAACTTTGCAGCACCTTGAGGCACCTGGAACTGGCCAACTTTGTGGTAAATGGATGAAAAGAATTCCCGCCTGAAGAGGCACTGCAGGGACACGATGGAGACAGTATATCCCCGGAAAGGCCCTGAAGTGGAACACTTAAAAGTGGTTTCACTAGAGTAAAGGTGGGTGAGCAGTGATGGCATCTGAAGTCCTGATGTGCCGTTTGTCACCCAGGAGAACAGCAGGGACGGGACGAAGCCACGTGTAATGGGTGCAGTTTATGTGATGATTTTGCTGTCTAGAGAACTATGGTAGGAGGTGGGATACACAGGGAGCAGAGCTGACTGTAAGGAACCTCCCGGCTCCTCCAGCTAGCCCCACATGACTGGAACTGAACTATCCCGGCTGGAAGCACCCACAGACGTGAATTAACATAGTTTCCAGGCAAACTCTTGTACAATTCCTTTTGAAGTCAATTGTGTATCCTGCTGTATTGAGCCAAATTTGTTCCCTTGTTCAGTCAGTTTGTTTCACCTTATTTTACTGATTAATGTGATTCATTCTTTTCTTTTGGTTATTAATTATGCATTCCTGCTTAATTCACAATAGTATTCTCATGCCTCAAGTTTCACTGTGCAGCCTGCAGTACAGCTAACAGACATGTGCTCTGTGCTGAGTGACAGCTGATGAAATAAAATACTGCCATCCAGAGAAACTTGTAATTGTTTGGAGCAATCAAGGCAGGAAATTGAAAAATTCAGGAAACTATCCATTTTCAGAAAACAAAACCAAAACCAACCAAACATGAATTCTTACTCAGTTCCTTGCTGCCCGGGAGTCACAAATCTCTCTTACTGAAAATACCATTCAAACAAATAAACCTTTCTCATATGCTGTATATGTACTATGCCTTTATTATTTATTTACTTGTTCATAAGGATTTATTCTAATTCTTAATTTATTGCCCTTCTAAGAAAAATAATAACTTGATAATATTGGAAAATACTATTCTGGACCCCCCCACAGCAGAAAAGGAACTAGATACAATGTTATGAACTGCGAGTGACTCAACTCACTCAAGACAATCTTTCCCTTTAAGAAGAAGCCTGATAACATCAATGTGTTCGAACACCAAGAAACAGCTCTGTTTTAAAATACCCTTCCCCATTTCATACATCCCATGGCAAAGTAAAATGCTGCTGTGCTCCATGACAGGAAAACATTAATGGTTTTTAAATGCTATATGCACGAGAACACTCTTTAATCTTGTGCCTTTACATTTTAGACAAGCAACATCATTCTATCAGCAACACACATTTGATGGCTATGAAAAGGGATAGTCTAAGAATGGTGTGCCTTTCATCATTTTCTTTGTAAGGGATCCTGGTGTTAAGACACAGCCAGGATGTACGTACAGAACAAACACCGGTGGAAGCCTATCTCCAACGTAATAACAGGCATGATCACGGAGGAATACTCTGTAAATGTTGAAGATGCTGAATAGACTAATCTCCAGCATTTCCAGTCTGCACTCAGGGCAGGTGCTCTGTAAATAACCTCAACATCGACTCAGTGCTGCAACCGTTCCCTGAAGAACTGAAGACATTTCTCAGAAAATATCTCCACAACTTTACAGAGGCTGAATAATATGAAATAGTAACATTTGTTTAATAAGGCCCAGTGCAAGATACTTGATACTGTTTGTGCTGCATTTCGGGAAGCCCTGGAAAGTTGAAGCTTAACCACAGTGATTGCTCACTGCACATTTAACATCTGCCAGGCTGCTGTGGCAGCCACAAGTTTGGGCTTATGATTTTTGTGGTGGAGAGGTTCAATAATTGGAGAATTCAAATGGGAAGCATTTATGGACATGCCTGTGGACCAGAGAGCCTACAGAGACCATCCAGCCCAATGTTCTAGGCTGCCCAGAAGCTCAAGGGCATTGTCCAAGTGCTGCTGGAATGCTAATGCTCCCAAAGGAGGCTGCTCCAGGTCTGAGCACTCTCTCAGTATGGAAATGCTTCCTAACATCCACTCTGATCCCCCCCAGCACAGCTCTGAGTCACTTCTGTGACTGGATCCCAGTGTCACACTGGCCAGCTGCAAAATGCCCAACTGCACTCTCCAAGTCAGAGCTGACTGGTCACACTGGGGTAGCTGGACAGCATAAATCTGGATTTCAGCAATACTAAGAGAAAGAAAAAAATTCTTACTCCACATACACTGTCTCTAAAAAACACATTATTTTTTCTTAACTGGGATGATACACTTCCAGGAAGACTGCATTAAGGATCCCAACATTATTCTGCCATACTGTTTATTATACTTAATTTTATTTCTATACAATTTGACACAAAATAAGTGATTTTTATAATACAGTTGGACATGAAAACTGCTTAGTAGGACACAAAAGAAGTAATATTACTTGGAGAAATTCAGCAGTTGTCTGTTGAGCGTGAGCTGTTACAACAGAAAAGCTGTCATTACTGTATAATAGAGTATTTTTGCAGAGGTAAGGGATTATAGAAGAAACAGAACTCCAGAGGAAAAAAAGCATCATGCTGTTCCTTATCAAAGCTACAAAAACAAAGCCAGCAAGGAAAACAAGTTCGGCTTTGTTGAAAGTGCAACACTGACATTTGAAGATAAGAGAAAAATACCAAATTTCATAAAAGACAGTTATCAGGTAAGTTTTTAAATGAAAAATCAATTTTATATTTAACATTATTCAGGTGTTATATGATAGGAGAGAATAACACATTCTCCAAGCTGGCATAAGAGTTCTGGTTTCCCCTTCTTGGCAATATCCCTCAAGTGTACTACTGTGCTATTCATTCAGTAATTTACAAGTGTTATTAAAGCCCCAGAAAACCTTTTTGTTAGGTTTGTTTAAGAGCTAGGACACAAAAGGTAGAATTGTCAACAGCCTGAACACTAGCAATGCACACAGTCCCTAAAAACCAGGCCTCTAAAAATCAGGCCATCTGGGCTTTCTTCCTTACCCCATGAAGGAGCAAGGTTCAAATTCAGGGAAAAAGCTCTAAGTCCCCACTGCTCAGTACCAAGTCAGAGTGAAATTACCCTTCTTGGCTGTTTATGTCAGCCACAACCAGCCAACTTATGCCTAAGTCTGACTAAGCTCCTAGAACTTACTACCTGTTCAGAGATTCTGTGTCCTAATAAGCACTGATCAAAACAGCTTGTATGGTGGAGAAAAAAGGACAGTGACAAATTAAAAATAACCCCCAAAACAAACAGGAGGGCAAAAGTGGGTTCAGATGCAGCACCAGTCAAGAAAACCCAGTGTGGCATGGCAAGAGAGCCCTTGGCTGCTCCAGCTTGACAGTCCTCCAAACCAGTGCCATGCTAGGTGAGAGCAGTCTGTAGAAGGTGGTAAATAGGTAATTTTGTAATTAGCCAGCAGCCAACAGCTTCACTCATTCGGTGTCGTTTATTTAGACAAGATAAAAGCTTGCACAGTTCTGTAACCGTATACAGAAATGAAACCATCTGAAATATATTTGTTTTTTTCCCCCTGTGTATTTCCCTTTGTTCTTGTGTTCAGGATTCCCGTTTGAGCAGTACATATGCTCCCATCACTGCCAGGAGAGCATACTGCAAAGAAACACAGAACACAGACTTGTTACAATTCCTCTCTACTGAGCTCTGAAAGCACCAACTGTTCAAAAGGCACCCTTTCAAACACCTTTCACAATTGCAGAGCTCTGGTCCTACAGAATTGCAGGAAGATTTTAAAGTGATCAAATTTATCACAACTGGTTACACTTAACTAATGAAATTCTAATAAATGACATGTTTTCAACTCTTTACAAACAACAAATTCTACTGCCCAACAGTAAACAAGGAAACCCAGGTCATCCTACATTGGATACCAAACCACAGACACAAATTTATTAACGTTTATGCTTAGAGGCAAGGTTCTCCTTATTGTCTGTACGTGTTATTTTAGCAATCCAAGTATTTAAAATGTCAGTATACATACCTTAAATTTTGGGTAGTCATTCATTATTATAGTTACCATTCCTACATAGGGCAAAAACCTGTAATTGATAAAACAGATGAATTTAAAATTAACCCTCAAATATTACACTGAAGTATTTTAATGTTACTCAGTCTGAAATATTTCAGTGCAATCCCATCATTATGCATAGGACTAATGTAGATCTGAATAGGAAGTAAAATTAATCTGTTTTCCTTAATCAAAGTTATCTGAGAAAATCTGAAGAGATTTCAGCTCAGCTGGGGAAGGGGACAAAGTCAAAAGCTCAAACCTTGCATAAAATTCCTGTGGAATGCCAAAACAATTTCCTAGGAATTTCCAGCAATTACAAGGAGAAGCTGGTTAATTTTGTCTTTTCAGGTGAACTATTTGTTAAATGTCCTTTTTTT